TCATGATATTAATATCAATTGTAAAAAGGCACCGAGAGGTCATTTATCAGTAATATATATATATATATATATATATGTTTATTAAGAAAATTGTTGAAAAACACACAAGAAAAAGTTAAGCTAGCATTTTGCATTATATATACTAAACAAAAAAAGAAAGGTAACACTACTTTATTCTGTGATTAATTAATTAACCCCTTCATAAATCCTTACCAATCATGTACGAATAAAGTAATTGATCAATTCTGATAAAACTGCAGTCATGGTTCATTATAAAACTTTGCGTTCAGTTGATTTTATTCGACTGTAAAGGACTCTGGGGTCAATTTCAAAGGGAACACCATTAGTAATGGGTATGGCCACCGTTTGCGAAGTAAACAGCATTGCCGCGTCGTCGCATGAAACTCGTAAACCGGCTGATAATTTAAGGAGAGATGTTGTTCCATTCAGCGATCAAGGCTTGGGCCAGCTCCTGCAAGTTTGACGGCTGATTTTGATGTTCTCTCACGCGTCGCCCAAGAACGTCCCAGACATGCTCAATCGGTGACAAATAAGGTGATTTAGATGGCCAATCTAACACCTGCTGACGCGACTGGTATGCGCTGGTGCGTTATCCTGTTGAAAAATGGCGCCAACACCATGGCGTCTTAAGAATGGCAGAACCACTGGTCTTTAAAATTTCGTCCCGATATCGAATGTCGGTTAAATTGGCATTTAACACAACAAGCCTGGTACGAGTCCCCAACCCAACCTCCCCCCCCCCCCGGACAAATACCACCCCAAACCATTCCACTCCCGCCGCCAAAGCAGTCCCGTTCTGCGACGCAGCAGTTCGCAAAACGCTCCCCTTGTCGCCTCCACACTCTGCGCCTCCCGTCACCGTGTTGCAGACAAAACCTGGACTCATTTGAAAACAGAACATTGTTCCATTGTCGTAAAGCCCAACGACGGTGAACACGGGTCCAGTTACGCCGATTATTAGGGAGACGTCGCAACAAATTGGGTCCAGTGTAAGGACGCCGCGCTTTCAATTGGTAGGCCCCCAACCTGTTGCGGACTGTTTGGGGAGACACACGACGCCCAAACAATGTCCTTGTAGTCTCTACTGTGGTAACGAATCGATTGCGCAAGTGTATCAATCGTATACGACGGTCATCCCTGGCGGTGGTTTTACGGGGTCGGCCGCTTCGGGGACCATCGGATGTTGACCCAGTTTGGTTTAAACGACTTACCAACTGGCAAAATGTCTTAACACTACAACCAAAATGATGTGCAACTCGACGGCGAGACTCCCCAGCCTGGATCATGCCTGCAGCCCTTTCTATCTGTACTTGTGACAGCTGGGGCATAATGATAAGTTGATAGATAGCAAGATTCGGTGATTTCTAAGTCCTAAGGATCTAAGGAACAGTTGTCAGTTTGAATGTTTATGAAATTCAAGCGAAGCTACAAGTTAGTAGCAGAAAACCTCGTGCAGCTCTTTCGCTAATACAGACTTTCACGCTTGAATGATTTTGGTAACCCCCTTGGATTTTGTAATGTAAAACATTACCATTTTCTAATATTGCACAAACGTCATTTTGTTTTCACTCATTTACAGGTATTTGCCAAGGAAACATTTTAACCTTTCTTTTTTTGTTGAGTATATATACATGTATAGCCCAATGATGAATAACAAAATGGTATAATGTAAAAGTGTTACTGTTTGGTTAAAAACATCATCTGCCCGCAGATAAAACATTGCTTCCCTGCCGACATTTCCATGCAGCACGTGTTTCATTTCCGCCCTGTTCCATCCTAGTTATCTCCCGTTTGTTTATGCCATCGACAGACAAACAATGGGGAAATTTATGTTATTGTACAACACATAGGAATCGATGTCATTTGATAAAATAAAGACCCATAGACTATAAAGAAAAACAACCAATGTTTCACTGACCTCTTTCTGAGAACTTCTAAAAGAAACCGGCAAGAACTGAACTTCCAATCATACCAAACCGGACAAGTGAACCTTGTCACCATTACTAGATTTTCGTTACATCGTTGTTTATTAGATAATGCTAGTTTTAATTCAGGAAGTGTGTTTGATTTTGATAGAATATATAAATAATTTATAGTCCGGTTGAAAGGAAATATAAAGGTTTCTTAACCCTCAAAATTTCTTTGACGCCCTTGCTAAGTATGATACCTTGAGGAAAATCAACTTTCAAATTCCCCTTCAAATTGAGGCCATATATATCGCAGTTACGGGTCTATGGGTGTCATTTTGTGTCTTAAGGTAAAACTGAATGTTCGGGGAGAAGTTTGGATCTAAGAAGTAAAAGCAAAAAAAAAAAAAAAAAAAAATAATAATAATAATAAACAGAACATTCGAGATATAAGCTGACATTTAAAAATAAAAAAAATGAGACCTAGATCGCATTTCGAATATCGGCTGATTTGTGATGGCATCTGATAAAGTTAGTTACAGTTTCAGCTCCATATGTTAATAAGTCTGGTATTTTACTCCTTTCTCTATAGATCCAGTATAGTTATCTGTTTTCCAGACGAAGCTACTTTGTGTTCAAATCAGCGTTATATATGCTTACAAATAAGTATTATGCAATTCGCAGTTATCTCTCTTTGAAAATAAAGACAGCTCTTTAAAGATATCCTGTTAGATTATTAGTACTAAGTGGCGACTGTTTTGCCGTGTGTCTTGGAAGATGAACGAAATATCTATACTAAAACTTCCTTAGACCTCTGTACCCATGACGATATTAATAACGATTGTCACCTAAATATATTTTATGACATAGTCGAACTTGATCATGCTTATTGACATAATTACATAAAATTATGATAAAATTACTATCAACAAAGACATGGCTTTCTTAGAATGAATTGCCATAAAACAGATCCTGGATTTCCAAGTACGACAGCGCACTCCAGCAGTCGAAAGTATTTGAACAGAAAACAAAGGGTTAAGTAAACACTCTCTTTCAAGATACTATTACAAGATAAAGTAGATTAGGCTCACAGCCTGTTTCTGTACATACGACAACGAGTCTTGTATCAACACGATAGTGCGTACAACATACCAAAACCGAACGCTTAATAACAAAAAATCAATTAAAATTTAAATCTAATAGAACTAGGTATGAACAAAATAAAGATTAAAACTGATATTCCTGAAAAAGTACAAGGAGAATAAGACCAGGTTTTCCGGAAGAGTAAACGTCTTTTACTTCATCGACGACTTCCGCCATATAAATCTTGGTCATCAGATTCTTTAACTATTCAACAGTATATGTGGAATACACTTAAATGTCGAAATATTGTAAGAATATATATTCTGATTGCACCGAAACGTACGTTATAAAAATACAATAACATAGCAACAATCACGATTGGTTTATAAACCACACCTAACCAAGCAAGACTTGCCAATACGTCAACCAATGATAAACACTGGGTAATATGATTAACCCGCATTACATTTGTCAAGTATAATCAAAATACATTTGGTAAATAAAGTCATATACAACCTGAATGTGTTAATCAGACTGGCTGTGCGCCAGTTCCCACAGGCACATAGTCCATTCACCTAACCGCTTCGAGCAAAGTACGAGGTGAAATAACTCATTTCCTGAGAAATTATAGCAATTTCACATACAAGAGAAGTTTATCTGAACATTCGTTAGGAATTAATGTTGTTATAAGAGTTGCCGACGGTTATTTTCATTTGTTTTTACATACAAGAGACGCTGGATCAGAACAGAGAGAACTGGAACTCTTCTGTTGCGCGGTCGTTGCCACTATACACGTATAAATAAAGGTTTGAGCAGTTGACGGAGCTTGAGCCCGCGATCGAGAAACCAAACTAACTTAGTCGCGCAATAACTGTCATGGTTGTTTAAAAAAAAAAAAAAAAACAGAAAAAACACCAGAATGGTATGGAAATATACATTCCAAAATAATCAATTAATGTGGTTGGAACATACCAATGATGGTAGCACAGGTTAACCGGTATTGGTAACACGGGTGAACCGGTATCGGTAACCAACAGTACCAGTATTGGTACAATAAACATAACTCGAAACTCTTGGTGTTTAACCAAATGACCAAATATATTTGTTTTACTGAATAGTGGAGATTAGTCTACAAAGTAAATTGCATTAAATAGCATTAATAACTTTGGAATCCGATGTCGGTTACTGATAGCGCCGGTATTGGTTACCAGCAGAACCAGTATAGGTACCGGATAATTAAATTGGTGGTACGTTATTTCAGAAGTAAATAGAGCTGGAGCTTCCAAGAAAACAAAAATATGGCACGATTTTTACCAGAATTGAAAATTTTATAAGAGAAATGGTTCAGACAAAGACAGGGTCTATGAGTGAAAACACAATCTCCAGTAACTCATTCATATTTTAAACTTTATTAGAATACTGGAAAACCGTTGCTGAATTCGTCATCGAAATGATGCATTTGGATTGATACATTATTTGATATTGATAAGAATATATTAAGTCTGGTTTTGCTTTTGGTCACACTGCTTAGTCTGGGGTAAACCTTATCATAACGTTTTGTACAGTCAAGCGGAAGTTAAGAACACAAACTTTAAAAGAGAAAAACACCATCGCAAATGCAGACAAATACTGTCACGGAGGAATCGGGCAAACAAAGGAAACAAAAGACAACACAACCTATTTCGTAGGAATAAATTCTTTGACCATCTTCCGATCCTGTTTGGTAAAGGAACACGTAATGAACTGGGTTATCTGGTACGTATCTTCTATCATGAAATAACCCATACATAAACATGATACAAATGTAAATATGTAAGGAGCCTAACAGACTTACAACAACATTGAAGTGACGTAATACAAGGGGAAGGTGGTCATATATATGTAGATATCGTACAGGCATGAGACGATCGGCGCTGATGGAGGAGTAACATATTGCTTTACATGAAATTACCTCGTTCTCGTTATTTCAAAGAAGATACACCAGGAAACATGATAAGGTTAACCTCGGTATTGCTCGCTCTCCAAATTTTTGGTGGAGGTAGGTATATTTACTTCCATATAAGGCTTTATCAAGAACTAATTTTACAAACTAAACGTGTCATCATAACTATATTCTGAAGTGTCTTTTGACCCCGCGCTTGTTTTGTTCAGACTTTTCATTAAAAACGGAAATTTGACTGAAAAATGGCACCAGGAAATGTTTTTGTATCACTTACAAATATCTAAACATTGAGTGAGGTTAATAGTTTCAAATATCTTTATTTTCAGCTATGTCATTTACCAATAGAGCTGGTGCAAATAGGGGTCATACCTTACCGTTCTACAGAAGGGAACACGTCATAGGTATGCTTCTATAAATATAATTTTTGTTAAAAGAAATATTCACGATATAGGTAATTACGATATTGTATGTCACATGTTTAATAATTACTAGGAACAATTAGTGATAAAATCGAAATGGTTGGCATAAGTTATTAAGTCCATACGATAAAAGCCACTTATCGCTGGTCACTTCTATCTAATATTGAATATTAATAAATTTCAATACATTTTGTCTGCCTTCAGTATATTTCAGTACACTTCTCTTGTATTTCAAACATCAACAAATGAGCCATGTGGGACGTTACGTAATGAAAACAAGACATCACTTGACAAATGTTTCTCGCTGAAAAGAACAGTCTAATTTTAATAATGAGATGACCTAGGCTACGCTTTCGCTCAAACAATACGTGGACAACAACGTATATTCATTTTATGTGGGAGAACAGGAGAAATTAGCATGTATATGTTTGTCATAAAATGATATTCTTGAAAGCCAAGCCAAAGCGACTTACTCCATCATGTTACTCACGTTTTTCTGATATTGTTCTTTTCGATTATGTCAGCTATCTTTAAGTAGTGATGTGTATCTGCAGTCATGCGATGCCATCTAGATATGACGAGTGAGCCAAATCTACATAATTAATGTACCTTGTGTTTTATATTATTTTGATGTTGTGTAGATAATTGTCGTCTTCTTGTCATACTTTGAGAAAGCGAGTGTCCCTCAGATAATTCGACAATTTCTCGTATCTGTAGGTTATGTAAATCAGGAGTGACATTGTATACATAATTGTGTAGATGACACAAAGACATCTAGACATATTTACAACATACCACAAGAAGTTATTTCTTGGAACACATGAAGCTAAGTTCAGCGGAACAATTTGAAAAAAAAAGGAATTTGGCGTATGTTTGTATGTATGACTGATATAAATCATACCTTACACATTTAGCAAAAATGAACTCACTTATGGCTGAGATTATTCATTAACGTACAACATCATTTATATTTTTATGATTTGAAGTTTAAATGGTTATTCGTTTATCTTTGGTTGATATTCGATCAAACGTTTACATTTTGATACCTTTTCTCTATATCTACAAATTTTAACATTTCATGAGAACACATTTATTTGACATAGATTTAGCCGCTATCCAGACAGGATCATACCAACTTCTCAGAGCTCGTACAGATTGGAAGTGGGGTCCACGCACTAACGCCGAGGCTATACTAGGTCTAACTTTGGCTAATCCCCGTTGGTTCCAAAAGAACAATGCAGCAACCTACATTTCTATACAGGAAATGAAAATGGAACTCCTTGCGCAGTTATCCATGTAAGATTTCAAGATTCATTTGTTTCAACTGCAACGAAAAGTATTGTATATTGTGACAACAGCAATGATAAATGTTGAATTAAGTCATTCTAAAAATTGTAAGAAAAGGCCTTATTGAAGAGAGCAAAGAGTGGTAAAATATGATAACATGGAAGATTCTAATTTCAAAATGTATTTGTCAGAAAGAAATACTCCTATATTCACAGCAAGTACATGAATATTCAATTTCATGCTTTTTGGTTTGTCAGAGACAAGAGGCTTACTGATGAACGATGGTCAAAGGGAAAGTTAGCCCAGTACGTGACCGCGCTACAACTATTATGCCACAATCCATCTAAATTCTTCCGACATAATCTCCTGAGGCGTTTGACTGGGCATCTGACTATATCGGTAGACGATTTCCGAGAGAACAGATTTGCCCTTTCCTGGGTCGTTATTGCACTATGTAATAACAACAAGAAAATTGACAATACGTCATTGGAAATTATCAATGATCATCCGGGGGAGTATAAGTTCGGGGTTGGTAAGTACAAAGTATGTAAGTAACGGCTTAAAAACGTACGTATGGTTATCTAGTTCAAACGTGTAGGATTTAAAGATTTCATTTTTTTGCGAAAATCTTATATTCAAAATAACTTTAATAACATGGAATAGCATTAATCTAACGTTCTTACAATATCTTACATCTAATGTAAAAGCATATTGCTAAACTTTTCATTGTAGAAAAGTAATCATTTGGTGTTTTCTGTTATGAGGAGTGTGTCTAGATAATGCATGGGAGCAATAAATGTCTGAAAGCCATTTATCTACCGTGAAATGTTAATGTAGATGTGTTTTTAATGTGCTTTTCAGTATGCATTGGAGAAGAAAGCTAATTTTCGTGCCAACATTGTTTGGTTATCCAAGCACGTAATATATATATATATATGTATTTTTTTCTTTCTTTTTTTTTTGGCTAGAAAATTGAAATTGTAATGTTTTGCAAGCAAAGTTTGTCGCTGTTTCTCCATAGATGAGGCATCCATGCTTTTAATGGCAACAACATGTTTGAACGAAACAGACGCTAAATCGTCAGCTGAGCAATTCATAGTTGATGAAATGAGAGCGAATATGTCACAATATAACGAGTTTACAAAAGGTCTTGTAGTACAGGTAAGGTAGCCTAGGAATGAAGAGTGTGTGATAATCATATTTTATCATGAGGGGAAAAATATTTTACAAATGGAAACATGTATTAAACGAATTAATTATCTTCAAAGCAATAAATTGATAAATGGAAAATTACAAAATTTACCTTTTACGAGCTTTTCTGGCCAAAATGTATCGTATCAGCCAATCATTACGCGTTAAGACTTTAATCCTTTTATGGTTAACATATTTTGTATACACAATGGTTGTGGTGATTAATTGATGCCCTGACAGCTGAATGACATCCATGATGTTATAGAAAAAATCTACCCAAACATATAAACGCAGTTTCAGGATGGTAAATGTAAAAAAAAATTGCTTTTTTTTTTTTTTTTTTGGAAAGGAAGCATGTCCGGCTGAAACGGATAATTATTTCATTATGATATACATGATCTGGTTTGGTAGCATTGGTCTGGTGCCGGATTTTGTCCTGATCTGGTTTGGTCGCATTGGTCTGGTGCCAGATTTTGTCCTGGTCTGGTTTGGTCGCATTGGTCTGGTGCCGGATTTTGTCCTGATCTGGTTTGGTCGCATTGGTCTGGTGCCGGATTTTGTCCTGATCTGGTTTGGTAGCATTGGTCTGGTGCCAGATTTTGTCCTGGTCTGGTTTGGTAGCATTGGTCTGGTGCCGGATTTTGTCCTGGTCTGGTTTGGTCGCATTGGTCTGGTGCCAGATTTTGTCCTGGTCTGGTTTGGTCGCATTGGTCTGGTGCCGGATTTTGTCCTGATCTGGTTTGGTCGCATTGGTCTGGTGCCAGATTTTGTCCTGGTCTGGTTTGGTCGCATTGGTCTGGTGCCAGATGTTGTCCTGGTCTGGTTTGGTCGCATTGGTCTGGTGCCAGATTTTGTCCTGATCTGGTTTGGTCGCATTGGTCTGGTGCCAGATGTTGTCCTGGTCTGGTTTGGTCGCATTGGTTTGGTGCCAGATTTTGTCCTGGTCTGGTTTAGTCGCATTGGTCTGGTGCCAGATGTTGTCCTGGTCTGGTCTCGGATCTAATGCATTATATCTTACCTCTTTTTACTATTTTTTAAATAAAACATTTGACTTGCAGCTTTAGGAATTTATTATTAATCCTTCATTATGTTATGAGCGAGAGTACTCGCTCTATATTCAATGCCGATCATTAACATTTCCGAATAAAGACAGAGGATTTTTTTCTCAAACGCGCATATGCATATATTTCGTTGACGGCCTATGAGCAGACGAATTGGATTTGACTTAGTGTAAATGTCGACAGATAAACCTTGTATAACTTAAGCATAGATCAGTTGTCATTGTCATTAACATAGAAATTTGAATTGTTATATAAATACTACTTTAATCATGATAATGATATTTATAACATATGGAAGGAACTGAGCACAATGGAAGTTAGATCAACTTCAATGGACAAGTTTTGTTTACCTGGATTTTATGAAGATCATATATTTCTATTTCACAAAAATTAACTAGTTGAGATTTACTGGTTAATATCATCAGGCGTTTTACGAAATGAAATCATTCAATATCGGTAAATGGATACCATTCCACTCGTGGTATTGTTGTACGGTGTCAACGTAAGGTACCATGATAATTGGTAAGATTGTTTGTTGCTGTCCTCCACTCTTTCAACCAATGTACAAACATTTAAATTCATTACCAGCTAACTTTAAATGATTTGGACAACGGCTGCATCGATTAAAAACTTTACAATGAAGTAATTTCACTGATTGATAATATATCAAGCAACATGAAAAACATGATGTATTGATACATTGTGTAAAAAAATCAATGAACTAAGAGTACGCGATCATATCAGACCAAACTTTGGGATCCAACCAAGAAGCCCAGACCAATCAGACTAGATCTGATCAAACCAGACCATTGTTTTATTGCATAGAGAAGTAATACAAAAAAACAAAAAAAGAACAAAAAAAAAAAAAAAAAAAAAAAAAGAACCCCCAAAGTTTCATGGTGACCTAATGCGATCACCTTCATCCAGCTTCGTGCGTCGTGTGTATCTAAACAATTTAACATTTTCGACTTCCTTTTTTCTGTTTCTATGAAATTGTGCAGAAACTTTGCCAGGCCTAAGATGAAACAAAAAGTGAATTATGTGATCTACACCCCATAGCGGTCTGACGACCTAAGTACCCAGATATAGTAGAAATATAAGTTGTTCATAGATGGGGGTATATTTTATCAAAGTTTATATAGGAAAATAGATTTTTTAGTATCATTCGTTTAATTATCATTGGAAATATTCCAAACTTGGTTAGAATTATGAATGAAAGATAACGGCTTTATGGAATGAATAAACTGTTTGTGACTAATCCCAAGGGATTGTTAGGCAGGGCGAAAATGGGTCCAATTCATTAAATTTCAAAAATCTTCTCAACACCCAGATATGGTCGAATCAAATGCTCTTGTTGCCAATATGGCTCACATTTTTCCTGAAGAGGAAGTTAACTTTACTACAATTTTTATAGAAAAAAAATGACCATAACATTGTTTATTTCCTTCTGGAAATAATTTTGTAAGAAATATTAGTATATGATGATATTTTTGATGGTATGCATGGATTTACACTGGTTTACTATCATCAATATTACGATTTCTTTTTCATGACACTTAATAGCTACTTTCCTTTAACCTTTATACTCAGTAATGGCTTATCTCAGGTGACCGTCAAGGCCGCTAAAACTGTTGTTAATTTTTATATACCAAGAGAAATATCTATGAAATCTATGTTTCTGCGTGACAGTATTAGCTATCGTACAGTTTGCATTTAATATATATCGTATTACACCACCTTTATAACTCCTTCAAATGCCTAAACAATTCGATGCTACTTACCTTAGTGATGCTAGAATACATAGGTAATTCTATGTTGCTTTATCAAGTTGTGTAAGACTGTTTTGATTGTACCAGAATAGTTAGTCTCTTTAAGACTGCTTGATAAACTGTTTATTACGGACTAGTTAAGCTCTTGTTTTAATTATAAAAGACTGCTCCGATTATACCAGAATAGTTTAGCTTTGTAAGACTGCATTGATTATACCAGACTTATTAAGCTCCGTAAGGCTTATTTGATTATACCAGACAAGTTTAGCTTTGTAAGACTGCATTGATTATACCAGACAAGTTTAGCTCTGTAAGACTTATTTGATTATACCAGACAAGTTTAGCTCTGTAAGACTTATTTGATTATACCAGACAAGTTTAGCTCTGTAAGACTGCATTGATTATACCAGACAAGTTTAGCTCTGTAAGACTGCATTGATTATACCAGACAAGTTTAGCTCTGTAAGACTTATTTGATTATACCAGACAAGTTTAGCTCTGTAAGACTTATTTGATTATACGAGACTAATTAAGATTGGAAGACTGAATTACTTATACTTTTGATATCTATATTTGTATGTCTACATATTGATTTTTTAATCGATAGAGGAACGTGATTTGTATAATATTTTTGTTAACCTAGGCGCTAACAGCAGCTGAAACAGAAAAAGTGGATGACATCATAGATATCGCACGGTCGGATCTCAGAGGAGGTAATGAAAGGATTAAATACATTTATAGGTTGTCTAAAAAGTTTAACACCTCATTGGGTTTGGAAATTAATAATGTGTCATTATTTTTCTGTTTGTTTTTTGTTTTATTCCGCGCTATTCTGCGAGTATTTAAAGATATTTATGAACAAATTTTTCATATTTACAATGCAATCTCTCAGAATTAGAAAAAACTAATTATCTAAATTAACAATGATGATATCAATTCATTTTGTGTCATCGGGCGTGGGCATTAACAGAAGTCGGTTTGCACAGTTTCAAAATATAGTAACATTTAACTACTTCTACGGACAGCAGCCCTTGGTACATACGACCTTTTTTTTGTTTTCAGTTTAGATATGTAAACTGGTGTTTGCTTCTAAGTAGTCCAGGATGACAATATGACATATTAACATCAAATCAACCTGTATGCATATGATAGTAGTATTCACTTTTGTTAACCATACCAGTGACTTCGTTGCTTTAACATAGTTCTGGTGATACAACGTTCATAACATAATACTGCATTGTATGACTATATTAACGAACATATCAATTTTCAACAAGCTATAATGGGAAGTACCTTACTGGAACTCCCTGGGGCTGCCTCCATTGTCCTTCCGGCGTTAGCTAGAAAATCCTACCTAGATGCAAGTAAAGTCGTTTGCCCAAAGAAAGGTAAGTGATTATTTCTATGAATTTCTTATTCTCCTTAGGATTTACAAAAATATAAAACATTTATACAAATCATAGTATCATGTTGGTCGTGCGAAAAACTCATGAAACAAAGAAAGATCTACAGTTATACCAAACGTATAATTTGAACACTAAATGCTAATTAGATAAGAATTTACAAAAGTTTTATTGTAATGACTGTAGCGACAAATTAGATGATCTGATCACACGAGAACAATGAACATTGTTTTCATGCCGCAAAAACGCCCTATATAATCGTTTTCAAGCTGTATGGATTTATAGCCCTTCAACAAACGTTAAATAAACGTTTGATTTACAAGGAATATTATCAAATTTTTGATGATGAGTTAAGTTTGATCAATATCAATATTACCAGAATATATGAATAATATATATATGTAAAAATTCGTTTATCAGAAATCATTGGATTGTTTGTTACATTTCCACTTTATCAGTTATAAAAAATGTCGATATCTTATAAAAAGGCTGAACTTAGCTAACATGTTGTAGTGTGATTTTGTAAATCTTCAATAAACACGGATTTTTTTATTAACTAATGACTCAGTTATTCATTGTTAATGTATATACTTACTTATTACCAGTTAGCATGTAGTGATAATAATAAACATAATATAAAATCCACAATTTGAAGTGTTTGAAAACAAAATAGAGTAAAGCTTGGTATCCTTCAGAATCTTATCTTGCTCTAATACTTTCGGTTTTTCCCAATGTATTTTTTTAGGTAAACGTGTACCGAAGTCAGCAGCCAAAATTACTGTAAAGATTAAAGTGACTGATGACATTATAAGTAACACTACCGGCACATGGAAAGTTAAGGCCATGAAGGGATCGAATCTCCTCACTGCATTGCAGGACCTACAGAAACAATCTAGGAGGTTTAGGTAGATTGTTTGTAATATTGTTTTGTTAATAGGCAGAAGATGAAAATAAAACTAAACAATGCTGAGAAAAAGAATGCAATGGCTTAACATTTGGTGCTTGAATTCACTTATTAATGGAAGAGACACTTGTTAAGATTTGTTTTCATGTCAAGCTTATTACCACATACAGCATACTTCACTGCCACCGATTAGTTAACGACATGTTGGCGTGTGGTGCTTCAAGAAACGTACAAAAGTGGCAGGATAAATCGATTAAAGAACATTACGTCGTTAATGTCTCAAAAATGTCTTGCATCTGCAGGTTTAAGTCCCTACAAACCTCATTTGGACGGTCCATCACCTCAATAAACGGAATGACCCAAGACATTGCCAATAAAATATTCTGGAAGGTAGAGGACGCTTCCGGTGTACCTCTAACTGACGGTAAGTCACAGCTACAAATAAATATATATAGGGCTAGTAAGCCTCCATATCTGTATTGTGACATTATATCGATCAGTTTGATTTTCCTCGGTTGCCCACGAGATTTTAAACTTTAGTCTCTTAGTATCCCTGGCGAGGAAAAGAAGGACAGCTACATAATGCATTTTGATTCCTATCATATTCCACTGTATTAATTATAAACATTTAATGTATATTTTAACCTGTCAACGTTTATCCGGAATTTATCCGGAGTTTCTTACATAATTTATTTTATTATCAAATAAATATTTGTTACTTATAGAATCTTTATCATCTTCTGTCCAAAGTCGTCGTGGACACAAGGTTTTCTGTAATCCACTATTCCAATTTACATTTCTAAAATATTGCTTCGTTATCACACTTCTTTTAATACTAAACTTGACACTCTTTAAATGTAGGGTAACATGATTACATCTCGTACATTTTCACATCTGTCCATGTCTACTTACGACTTGAAACGTTCCCTGTAAGTTTTCACAGTCCTGCCACGATTATCATGCAAGCCAGCTTTCAATTCAGTCGATTAGTGGTATTTTTCATAACTTATACATGCATTTGACGTGCTTCTAAAATTAACAGATATATGAAAGTTACGATATTGGCTGTAGTATAGACCTTACAGTTTTTACATTTCTTTTGATCACTGACGAGTCCTAGAAGGACAAAAATATGTACGATGCAGTTTAATTCAGGAAGCAAAATATATTCTTAGCTTAATATGTGCTTTATAAGGTTTTTGATGTTACCTGTACTTAATAAAGATTGAAGAGCTACCTGCTCGGTACTTCATTAGTCACGAATACTTCAGAGATATACATCACACGAATCCATGAAAGAAGTGTAGAGTTACTTATTAGGTTTAAAGAGTGAAAAGTAAATAAAAGGTTGCAGAGTTACCATTACTTATTAGGTTAGTAGAGTCAAGAGTAAATATAAAGGTTGTAGAGTTACCATTACTTATTAGGTTAGTAGAGTCAAGAGTAAATATAAAGGTTGTAGAGTTACCATTACTTATTAGGTTTGTAGAGTCAAGAGCAAATATAAAGGTTGTAGAGTTACCAGTACTTATTTAGTTTGTAAAGTGAAGAGTAAATATAAAGGTTGTAGAGTTACCATAACTTATTAAGTTTGTAAAGTGAAGAGTAAATATAAAGGTTGTAGAGTTACCATTACTTATTTAGTTTGTAGAGTCAAGAGTAAATATAAAGGTTGTAGAGTTACCATAACTTATTAAGTTTGTAAAGTGAAGAGTAAATATAAAGGCTGTAGGATTACCAGTACTTATTCGGTTTGTAGATTGAAGAGCAAATAAAAAGGCTGTAGGATTACCAGTACTTATTAGGTTTCTAAAGTGAAGAGCAATTATAAAGGCTGTAGAGTTACCGTTACGTATTAGGTTTGTAGGGTGAAGTGTAAATAAAAAGGTTGTAGAATTACCAGTACCTGATTACTTAGAGTCACGAGTACTTTCTCACATTTTCGGGTCATCTGTATTTGATTGGATAAGTAGAGTTACGAGTACGGTAATACGCTTGTGGTGTTTCCTAGACTAATGCTTATATTTAAATATTTTCTGTAGTATAAAATATTCGCTTTATTTCATTTTTGTTATCAGCTTTGTGGCTCGAAACCTTGTACACAGTAGTTTTTTTCTTTAAATTTCATTTACTAATGTGAATGTTTTATGTAACTCCTCCGCATTAAGATTTTATCAGTTCTGTTTATCAGTTTTGGATTCCCTCCGTCTTAGTCAAAAGTTAGGTCCTTAGCATCACCAACAAGTTATAGAAGGACGAAACAACTGTATGACGCAATTTAATTAATAATTTGGCTCTGCTGTCTTATTCTAAATTGTATTGAAATATGCAATTCAGGAGTGAGTCTTGTACAATCTTTTACCGAACAAAGGGCATAATTCAAGTGTTTAATGTATTCCAACGTAATATTACATTTTATTATCTTCATCATTCACATTGGTACTTATTAACTGAACTGGGCAAGTCATTAAGACATGTTATATTTGTTTAGCCATTGGAATCCACTATGTCACTCAGTATTTGGCATTTTGATTCGTGTAATAATGTCAAAATAAATATTCTTGTTTGTTTATTGGTATGACAGGAATAAATCTAGGGGCGAAAACTACAAATGATACCGCGTCCTATCATTTTTAGAAAATGAACTCTACATTTTTTCAAATACTCCATAGAATTATTTTGTCAACTTTTATACTATTTTCCTTTTTTCTTACTACACGTTGCATATAAGAAAGCTGGCCTGTTATTAAAGAACGTCCTTTTTTCAGGAGTCAGTCGGACGGTTCCCAAAAACGGAGATACCTTCATCTTTCGTTTGACGAAATTTTGAATTTTCTTGTGAATTTGTTATATTTACAATCATATTTCTTGAAGGAAGAAATATTATGTATAATAAACATTTATCTCTTCGTTTTTTCTGCTGTTGTTTCTTAATCGTTACAAATACCTTCATGGATTGTATCTACCCAATCTTATATAAGATAGGGGAATTTGTCAGTTAAAAAAGGAAACTACTTAGGACTTTCGTGTGTTGAAAAATGAATTTACCGTGGGATAGTTGTAAGATTTATTTTGAAATTGCTTTTAAGATGGAACATCCAAAATCTGCACCGATGGACGATGATCAGATTTATATTATACGTGTCCGTGGGTACAACTTCGTCAGCTTCAAATGTAAGCATAGAAACAGAAATGTATGATCAATGAATTAATTATAAATATTATTATCTTTTCCAGTTATATCACTCACGCGTAAATTTTAGTGTTAATGTTGGTCTTATTCTCCTTGTACTTGTTCAGGAGTCTCCTTGTAAATCTTTCTTTTGTTCATATTTTGCTTTAGATTTTATCGGCATGTCCGTATTTTCTTGTTTGTCGTATGTACACAGGTACTTACTTCTGAACTTCAGTACATGTCTAACCCGATAAAGATGATAATGCTATACCGAATACATTAACATAACTTAGATATTATATATAAACAATAATTCTTTAACTCTTATAAAAGAGCAAACGGAATTTAACAGAACATCTTGTTTATACTTATTTGGAGAAATGCACTTTCCCGGATAAAACTTTCAAGAAATCCTTCGCAAAAACTGTGTCACAAAACTACCGTTATATTTAAGGACTTAAATTTGACGTTGACCTTAATTCGTTTTCTCTACATAATTACACAGGATTAATTTAGTTATTTTAAGAAGATTATTCGGTCATGAACGTGTTGTTTATATATGCACGAGACATACGTTTAATTAATGATGGTTCCATTTATGGCTTAGATATTAATATAAGTTGTCGATATAAAAAATGTACAATAATGTTTTGTGCATGTATCAGGTTAATCATATTTGTTATAGTCAGAAGGCAATGAACGAGACCTATAACTTATGGCAACCAACTTAAATCAATGTACTAATAGTTGATATCAAATTATGTGTATGTTAACGGTGAAACCATTTGAGAAGACGATACACTATGGAGGGTAACATGAACCAAATATGGATATATCTGGCGTGTTTAATGCTATGATGTTATGATTCACGTATTGTCTTAATAGGAGAAGAAATCGCCCCTCCCCCTTCGATCTATCAAGATATATGTATTTATATATTTACTGCAAATTGATACAAAGTACTTTTTGATATGTCATAAAGGAAATTTGTTCATTGAAATCGGCATCACCAAAAGTTCCTTGTGGAATTTTTAGGCAAAATCAACTCTTACAATGTCACCGAATGAAAACTTAAGTTGATTTACAAATATATATTGTCGCCTCCTGGCCTTACAATGATAGAAGACCCATCAACCTATCCATCGCCTATTCCAGTCTTATATAGTCTCATCATGCAGGAATTCGGGATAATCACACCCGTACAATGCCGTAAGTGATATATTCAGATACTGAATAGCACGTTTATAACCAATGAAGGTCAGTAAGTGTTGCATACATTCACTCGATAACATGGCCTAACCACTTAACGTTAATAGCTGTGAGTAATGTATACAGATGTTCTATAACACATACTGAATACTAATAGCTGTAAGTGATGTAAAACACAACCACTTGACATCATTATCTGTAAGCGATGTATACAGATGATGAATAACTAGTTCACGACTAATGAATATTAATAGTTGAACATGTATCCATATTACCTTTAGCTAGGCCAAAACTACAGAATGTTATCAACTCTAATTTATATTTACACGTGATATATAGCCTGGCCTCAATCACTCCATGTCATAAGCTGTAAGTAATGTATACACAAGATTGATTACAGGACCGCAACTATTTGACGTCAGTCGTTCTTCTTTTCGAGGTGAGTGGTAAGTGTTTTTCGTACAAGGTTAAAAACTAGGATGCAATCAAGTCCCCTGTTTAACTGATAACAATTATCAAATATTTCGATGAGATAAAGCGTGGTTCATTATATACACGTATTGATAGCAGCAAAGATCTTTCACACATTATACTAGCAAAGATCTAACAGCTATAAGAAGTATCACATCTTCATACAATAACACGCATATGAATAACATACCTTCATACCATCAAAGATCTACTATACACACTGAACAACACATCTTCATACCAACAAAAATCTAACACACATATAGGTAGAACATTTTCATACTCTCAAAGATCTACTATACACATTGAACAGCATATCTTCATACTCTCAAAGATTTACTAATACACATAAAGTAGCACATCTTCATACCAACAAAGATCTAACACATTTAGAGGTAGAACATCTTCAAACCATCAAATATCTACTATACTTATTGAACAGCACATCTTCATACCAGCAATGATGTAACACACAAGTGTAGTAACACATTATCATGCAGTTATTGATTACGTAATATTGTATAATACTTAAATAGGCTGAAATCTCTAGTTTCATATGTATTGAATCATGGTCCTTTGCCTCCTTTCATTGTTCCTACACTGAAACACGGTCATGTTGTGTAGGGTGAAACGTTGTTGAACTTTGAAATTACATGTGCAGAAGTTTTCCATTCAGAAGAAAGAAAAGAGATTAATAATCTAAAATTCAAATGAGAACGAGAATTAGCCTCCTGTTAGTGGATAAATGGTTATACTGTCGTTTTCTGTCTAAGGCAGCAAATGAATGACACATTTAAACTGCCGAGAAACTAACGTAACACCTTACCAGTGTTATTATATGAGTCTATCACCAACTCAAATCATAAGGTAGGGGAAGGTGGGGGATACATCATACTTCTTCCATTTTCTACTTCAATATAAACAATTGCTACAAACTTGTACATTTCCGATTTTATTTTCAAAATGTTTTAGAGTGAGAAAATTCAATTTGCCTGAAATGGCCGATATCATTTTCACTTTTTAATGTAATCAAAACATTTATTTATTTCATTTGAGCGTATTTTTCAAAGTTCTCAAAACATGTCAGTTGATCTATTTCGCAGTTATCGTCATCATCGGAGAAGTGACGTTTGGTTTATGCTTTTTCACAGAACAATTAGATACCCATTGAAAAATGAGGAAGACTCGAACACCTATTCACGTTGCTCATCGATGCGTAGATATATCTAAGCTTCTTTATCAATAACATCACTACATTACAGTGCAATGTTTCGAATATGAAATAAATCTTCACAACATATGTGTCCCTGGCAACATTATAACAGTCAAAGTAGAACATAACGATGGTAAGTTTGCAGTAGCTGATGTCGAGTCATCAATCAATATCCGGTAAAACACGATATTCGAAGTATTTCTTGACATTTTTGATAATATTCAATACCCAAGGACCATATTTTTCAAACACATGGTCAGGACCCTGTCCCGTCGCCTTGGACATGAAGTTCACGCCAATGTCGGCGTCATATCTGGGCGTGAAGAAAAACGGAGAAGTATACCGGTCTATTCCGATGTCTATGACGCGATGTGCAGTAGCCTTTAGCCTCCCACCCATCATTCTGGAGAACGTGTCTCCTATGTTCATAACAAGACTCTTCGGACGAGGAGCGACTTCCGCCCAGGAGCCATCTGGCATCTTGACTTCGAGTCCTTTGTAATGAAACGTGGCCAGAAGAGTAAGAAAATTAGTATCTGTATGTTCTGGGGTAATCACAACTTTACCGTTCTCGATCTGGGCCTTTTCAGGTGGAGATCCTTCCCAAGGCGGATAATGCATTATTCGAAAAGTCGTGCAAGGCTTATCAGAGAACAAAGGGGTAAAACTATCCTCTTCTATTCCCAGTCCGATGGCCGTGAGCCGCAAAATTTCTAACGCAGTTTCGTGGAGCTTCTCATAGAGTGCCCTCATGTTGGCCTTGAATGGAAATGATCCATCTTCCTCGGGCCATACAGAATTCTCGTAGAACCAGTTGTTAGGGCTGACGGTAGGATCATTCGGAGGCACGTCACGCGCAAACTCAAATCCTTCTTTTCTGCTTGGTTCGTTCGGTAAAACGGGGAAATAGCCACGGTAAACATTCTTGCTTTCTGGGTTCCAAAAGTTCCGAAGTAGTTTTTTCTTTGATTCCTCAGGCTGCTGGAAGAACCATTCACAACATTTGTACCAGAGGTCAAAATCCAGTCCTTCAACGTTGTCTATAAACAGGAATCCCGTGTTCTCAAGAGCGTCCACTATCACCTTGGCTAATGATTCACGATTACTTTGAGTCTGAGATAGATCGACAATTGGCAATTTGAATGACATCTTTAAAGCACACCAACAGCAATCTGAGTTTTCCTGAAAGTTCAAGGCTTGTTTTTAAATCTTCATGATAACATCGTTTCCTACCTGAAAATTTACGTGTTAACAATAGTATCCATCTTTGAAAAATGAAATAAAGAAGGTCGAGAATACACATCAAGGGTTATACATGGTATTTAGAAAAAAACAAATGCCTTCTGTCATCGATGGCGGCCGCCATGTAAGATGTTTAAAGCTATGTAGTTGGTGACAAGTTCTGGATGTGATATCCGACGCTTATAAAATGCCAACTGAACAGATTTCAAAACCATTGGAAGCAGCTTTTAGGTCTTGTCAATTGTAAACATGAATATATCTATTTTAATACAAAATACTTACCAATTATATTTAGCAGTGTATACGGTCACCCCAGTGCCTGGCGTTATTATGTATATACTATACACTAACAGTACGCCTCGTTAACACGAGTCACTGATAAACGCAATCGTTTAAGCATAGGTGTATTTACATATACCTCTATTTCATATCTCATGAGATAGATATTACAAGAGAAGTTTTGACCTGTAAACGTGATTATTTGAACGTAGCAATATACCAGTTAAGACACGGACAGATTAATATATTCGTGCACATGTAGTTGATGCTTTTCGAAGTGAATTCTCATAGTGTTACAATACAACACACTGTTTACATAATCTAGACATGAATCTGATACTCTTACAAGGTATTAAATTTGCTGTATTTATATACTCAACTGTTACAAGTGGGACGATATTTCCAGTTAATGACATCAGTTGAAATCATACTAAAGCAAAGTTTTTCCAGAAGAGGAAATAATTGTGGTGTTCCTCTTCGTTGTGTATTTTTCGCAATTCACCCTTGTATTTAGCCCCTTAATTACAAAACCATGAATTAATGCTATTGTATTTTCTCACATATGAGGTACTGTTTTGGTATCGATCCCGAAAAATTCACATATTGTATGGACTTTTAGCTTGCTTTTGGGATCAATTCTAAAAGTTATATTAATCCGAAATCTTTTCGGGATTGACTCCAAAAATGCTTTTACCAACAATATTTTTGTGATCGATCCCGAAAATGAATTTAACAAATTTTGAAATAAATTAACATAAATAAAAGACAACCTCACAAACCATCTGAAGTGAATGTTTCAAACATTTCTCCATATTGGAAGTACTAGGCTTATATGTAATATGTTTGCTTTAGCATATATACATGGTAGAATCAAGATCATAAATCCATTGCAGTCAAGGTCACATATTTATTGATCATGATAAAGGGTCAAAAATCTTTGCAACAATGTTAGATTCATATTAAAGTACACAAAGTAGAGCAAAAACATGGTTATATTAATTAGTTAATATGCAACATGAATTCAAGAATTCGGAACACTTTTAAAAATGTGCTCGTTCTTAAATGTCTGGTGTTGTAAAATAAAATAGTCTTGATATATTAGGATTGAATTATCATATTTGAATGGCAATACATATTGTCAAACAGCACAGAAATGACAGAGAATAACATAATCTTACAATATGTGGACAATGATAGCCAAACCAGAGTGATATATTTTGGCTAAGTCAGCACCGAATATAATTATATTTTTCGGTATGCATGTATAATTCATCTAGTACCTTTTTCTTAACCCTAACGACTCCACAACATTTATCAGCTTAATAAAAGTTTTGAAGGACACTGTTCGGTAAAACAGTTATGGAATGTTCTCACAGCTTAATGACTTCTTCATCCATCCACCCTGTTAGAGTTACAATATACACATGTATATCCTTATTAGGGCTTGATATTCAAGGTTTCACTAGTGATTTCCTTCCTTCTTGTAGATGCCGATATGAACCTTGATTCTACCTCTTCTTTTCGTCAGTGTACCAAGTTCATTTTTCTTTGTGTTTTTGAGGAAAGTCACGGAGAAATTTGAAATTAAACACTGATTTCATCACATTTATCTCATCAGTTCTTTATTTTACCGTCTTTGCACATGATAAACCTATATATATTTGAACAGAATGTAAATAAATTCAAATGAAACACCGAGTAATCAAAAGTCGAATAGTATTTTTACAGGATTATAGGATTATTAGTCAAGAGATGGCAATACATCGTTGTATTTCCATTGGGATAATGATACTGTTATCATCAACTAATTTTCCTGCAAGAATATTCCAATTGTTGATTTTAGATAAAAAAAAAAAAAAATATATATATATAGATGCTAGTATTATTTCAGTAATACTTAAAGGATTTATTATTACTACATGCATATCCTGTATGTGGTGTGAATAAGGGAGGAGGAACCATTTTGTTGGTATTGGTAGGTATTATATGTCTTATGTTGATTTTTTTCAATGGCATGCTTATAGTGATAAATTCTGCTGTCTCACTTTGTTAAAAAAAGAATCCAGAAATTTAGAATGAAGATCTTCGATTTACAAATATTTTCTTTTGGTATATTTTGAATCTTTGAATTCAAATATAGGGTACAACCTGCAAACTGACACCAATGTTGTAAATATTTATCTTTGATTTAACTAGCATACAAATTTATTAGAAGTATCTTCTTCTGCGTTCATCAATGTTTTAAATATGTTACTGACATCAACTTCCTTTTGTGTCTTGGAATACAAGTTTTCAATTTATCGTGAAAAATAAATTCATCTTTCAATTGAATATAAATAGTTTGTTTTGTGTCCTCAAATTGGTAATATGAGTGGAGCTGATTTTGTCTTGTATGAAGATATACTACTTCTTATGGATGTCTATAAAGGTATTAGGATATTATTATATCTACACAAACATTTACATGTTTGATACGGTTTCAATACTTTTATGTGATGTTTTAATTATGATAACCATAACACATTGTAATATTTTATTTATCGAACGATTACATTTTATTACTAAATATCAATAGAAAGAAGAAATAATGGCATCTTAATTTTCCTTAAATATGAACATAGATGAACAAGACTAAAGCTATAGAAAAATGTACAAGAATAATAGGACCATGAGTCTCGGAAGGGTACTTGTCTTCTGCTTCATCGTCGACAGCCGACGTGTTAATATCTATCAATAAAAATAAGCCCTTGCATATTCTCAATCGAAATCACAGTAAACAACAACCTTACCAACAGCCCGTATCCGGTCATATAACTTGCCAGTCTGCTCTTCATCAACCTGCATATCTTAATTTAAGTTTTTCATTTAGTGATGCATGAGTACAATTGAATATCGAAATATAACATATGTAAATATCGTAAGCTAGGGGAAGCAGACTGTTAACCATGCTATATACAAATGGGAAATTCGCAATATGGTACTCGAAATCGTTATCTTTTAATATAGCTTCATGCAAAGCTGTCCAAGTTGGTTTCAGTGTATGAAATATCAAGCTGATGGTTTTATCAGGATGAAAGACAAAACATTATCAATATGTCTCAAAGCGAAAGTTGAAGATTTGGTGAGGATTTTTGTGAACAGTTCTGACTGGAGCTCTAATGGATTTAGCCTCGTATGAAACAAAATTTTGTCAGCCAAGACAGGCGCACAGTTTGTTTCCATGAGTATTTCAACACTATTTTAGAACTTCTAGCAACTATATCACCGAGGTGGTAAACAAGAATGACGAGATAACCAATGTCTTGAACAGTCCAGGATAAAAGAAATACATTTCACGTTATATAAAGATAACTGACAAAAAGCTAACAGGTGTGTATAACTTATTTCATTTAAAATATTTTATCCAATAAATATGCTTAATATATTTTTATTTAACTACCTAAATGTTTTAAGAATCGTTATCAATTTGAAGCGGCTTAAGGTAACACAGATAAGCACAGCCTAACACTGCATTTGTATTGTATGTGTGCTCACAGCCCGTCACATTTTTAAGAACATGCCCTATATAAAGTCTAAGGATATCAGATATTAAAGATAAAAGTAAAATATAATATATTTTAGGTTTTATTTCTTTACTGGAATCCATACACACACATCTGATATAGGTAAATAGCGATTTAAGAACAGTCATCTTGATGACGCATTACTGCTTTGAATTAACAAATGTGTTAATTTAAATTTATGCACAAGTTTTTGTCGTATATTGATATTGCAATTTTGTTTCATTCTGATAACGGTGTTGAATTCGAATAAATAAAAAAAGTAACACACTGTATTTCTTTACAACGATCCAACTCAGTCGGATCTCTAGCACTAGGAGATAGATAAAATACCAGCCTTCCTGTAGACAAAAGGGCACTTCGTTCAGTACATTACGATAAAAGCTGTGGCAGTTAAATTGATCATGTTGCTGCACCAGCTAAGCGTTCTGATTTGGGTTGTGGTTTACTCAAACCGTTGTCATGGTAAGCTGTTTAACGCTGTTGACGATGATAAACATTGTAATATATCCTACATCAATAAGATAAATTGGACTAATTTATATGATTGTGAGGTAACCAGAGGTAGCAGTGAATCACGAAGTATTGATTTGTGATCCGGTTCTATTTATCTCATATATATTCTCTGAGGAGATAATTATACTTTGTTACTGAGAAAACCTCAATAAGAGCGTACATGTTTTAGAATCTGTTATCAGCTGTCATGTCCTGATGATTGCAGTAATAACACGTTTTTATTCGAAGGATCTGATCCAAATGCGGTAGCTATAGAGATTGGTAAGAGAGAATTGTTGAGTTCCCGTAGAAATTGGGGTTGGGGTTCATATTCAAATGCTGAAGCCATCCTAGGGCTGACACTGGCGGATGACACATGGTACCAGAAGGAGGATGCCGACTCTGTGGCCAGTGTTCAGGCCATGCACATTGAACTTTTAGCAGCATTATCACGGTACGATAAAATTTCATGTTGACTTTCAAGAAAGAATATGTATACAAATAATTTCAGTGGTAATCATTTTATAGCGTGTTTTACTTCCACACTTACATCATATTATCATACTGTTATAT